AGAACAGATGAATAGCTGAACACTAAACACATGGTCTTAATTGTCATAGCAACGCTCTAACAGTTTCCATGGTTTTTAATTGAATTTTTTATGACCGCGAATAATTGCAGCCGCGAATATATCCCGACCTACGGTATGTTGCATTTTATTAAATATTTCATTTTGTAGTTTATATTGTTAATAATGAGTTTTTGTTTTGTAGCTGAGTCTTGTACCAGTAAAGGAGTATCAACGACTGATTTATTGTATTCTGGTTTGTTATATTATGAGCAACAAGATGAGGACGACTGTTTGATGACTTTCACTGTTGCACAAGATCTTAAAGCACTCACACAAGTATGGAGTAATTTAATTAGTATAGACCAGGGTTTCCCTAAAAGTTTACTAAGTGAGCTAAACTGACAAGCCTTTATTATACAATGGTCATATTTAAGAGCAACCTGAAAAAAGTGTGAAAAAATTAATTTTGATCAGAACTTGCTTGAAATAGCTAGATGACATAAGTGCATGTACATGTATATGCATCAAAAATGTAATAAAAATTGAGAATTCTCTCCTGGCCATTTTGGCTGATGATCCTATACTACATGTACATGTACATGCACATGTACATGTACATGTACATGTGTAGTGTAGGGTCCTTGACCAGATTATTGAGAAACTATAAAAGTTGACAAGCTGAGCACTACACAAAATTCCTGTGGAAACCTTTGTGTAGACCTAATGATAATTCAATTTCTTGATTATTTTTTTCTACATTCTACATGTATGTATGTGTATTTTAATTGTTGTTAGTGATTGTGACTGTAAATACTGTGTACTAACTGTATGTGTGTGTGTTATTATAGTAGTAGTAGTAGTATTAGTATTCTTGTACATTGACTAGTATATCAGTGATGAGCATCCTACTGCTGAGAGAGGACAAAGGGTCAAGTTTCAGTTCTCAGAGTCTCCTGGTTACGTTGAACTGAATCTCAAGTCAGAGCAAACCAAATCAAACACTGGCTGGAGTATTGAGCCACACTTGGAACCAGTCAAAGTACTTAATGGATATACTCCAATAACATGATGAGTATTGTTTGTAGTTATGGCAGGTTGAAGTAGATGGGTTTGCATCAACTACTGATCCTGATCCTGATCCAGCATCATGTCTTATCTCATTGCATGTAGAGAGAAGACAGAAGACTGTACCAGTACTGTATCATGCAGTACCTCTTGTTGGAGTGAGCCTACCTGTAACATTGTATATAAGACGGACACTGAAGAGTTATGATATGAAACTAAAAGAAGGTAAACTTTACTATAATTGTATTATTATTATTGTTATATACATGTACAGGTAGACCAGTTGGGGACAATACCAGTACATCAACTGGAGGAGCTAAACCTATACCAGGTAATGAATAATACACTCCATGCATATTGCTATAATTATATATTCATCATAGCATCAGCCACTACTGCAGTACAAACTGGAGCACAAGCTAGTCCTAGTGTATCTACA